GGTGGCCGAATAGGAACAGCTTTGGAATGCAGTTCCCAGCAAGAACAATGCAGAGGGTGAGTGATCGCTGCATTTCCAAACAAGTTATTAGCACTCACAGACTAGGAGATTCCAGGACTGAAAAGCACCTCGAGTTTCCAGCACCACTGTTTCAGCTGGTGCAGCAGCTCTCCGCACAATAACTCACACAAATCTGGGCGGCCATTTCAACTGGTGCCTGGAACACCTGGGAGACAGAGCCGCCCATTCAACTGATAAAAAGGGGGCTGAAACAGGGAGCCAGGTGAACTGGCTTGGCAGGTCCCACCCCGACAAAGACAAGCAATCTGAAACGCTCTGGATTGAGAGTTTCACAACAAATGCAGCTGGACCCAGGACAGTCTGTAGGGGGAAGGGCGTCTGCTATTACCGAGGCAGTCCATCACTACTGAGGCAGTCCACAATTATGGAGTCAGTCCACCATAACCAAGGCAATCCACCATTATTGAGGCAGTCTGCCTTTACTGAAGCAGCTGGGCAGAGCCCATGGCAGCTCAGCAATGCCTCTGCTGGCAGACTGTGACTAGGCTACCTACCAACAACATCCTGATACCAAAACCCGGCAGAGACTCAAAAAGAAAAGAATACTTCAGGCCAACATCCATGATGAACATAGATGCAAAAATCTTCAGTAAAATACTGGCAAACTGATTGCAAAAACACATCAAAAAGCTTATCCATCATGATCAAGGCGGCTTCATCCCAGGGATGAAAGGCTGGTTCAACATACTCAAGTCTATAAACGTAATCCACCAAATAAACAGAACCAAAGACAAAAACCATATAATTATCTCAATAGATGCAGAGAAGGCCTTTGACAAAATTCAACAGCCCTTTATGCTAAAAACTTTCAATAAAGTAGGTATCGACAGAACGTATCTCAAAATAATAAAGGCTATTTGTGACAAACCAACAGCCAATGTCATACTGAATGGGCAAAAACTGGAAGTATTGCCTTTGATATCTGGCACTAGAAAAGGACGCCCTCTCTCACCACTCCTACTCAATATAGTATTGGAAGTTCTAGCCAGAGCAATCAGGCAAGAAAAAGAAATAAAGGGTATTCAATTAGGAAAGAAGTGAAATTGTCTCTATTTGCGGACGACATGATTGTGTATTTAGAAGATCCCATTGTCTCAGCCCCAAATCTCTTTAAACTGATAAGCAACTTCAGCAAAGTCTCAGGATACAAAATCACTGTGCAGAAATCACAAGCACTCCTATACACCAATAACAGACTAAAAGAGAGCCAAATCAAGAACAAACTGCCATTCACAATTGCTACGAAGAGAAAAAAATACCTAGGAATACAACTATCAAAGGAAGTAAAGGACCTTTTCAAGGAAAACTACAAACCACTGCTAAACAAAATAAGAGAGGACACAAACAGATGGAAAAACATTCCATGTTCAAGGTTAGGAAGAACCAATATTGTGAAAATGACCATAATGCCTAGAGTAATTTATGGATTCAATGCTATCCCCATCAAGCTACCTATGACCCTCTTCACAGAACTGGAAAAAACCACCTTAAACTTCATATGGAACCAAAAGAGAGCCTGCATAGCCAAGACAATTCTAAGCAGAAAGAAAAAAACTGGAGGCATCATGCTACCTGACTGCAAACTATACTACAAGCCTACTGTAATCAAAACAGCATGGTACTGGGACCAAAACAGAGATATAGACCAATGGAACAGAAAAGAGGCCTTGGAGGCAAGGCCACACATCCACAACCATCTGATCTTTGACAAACCTCACAAAAACAAGCATTGGGGAAAGATTCCCTGTTTAATAAATGGTGTTGGGAAAACTGGCTAGCTGTGTGCAGAAAGCAGAAACTGGACCCCTTCCTGACACCTTATAATAAAATTAACGCCAGAGGGATTAAAGACTTAAACGTAAGACCTAACACCATGAAAACCCTAGAAGAAAACCTAGGCAAAACCATTCAGGACATAGGCATAGGCAAGGACTTCATGATTAAACCACCAAAAGCACTGGCAACAAAAGCCAAAATAGACAAATGGGATCTAATTAAACTCCAGAGCTTCTGCACAGCAAAAGGAACTATCATTAGAGTGAACCAGCAACCAACAGAATGGGAAAAAATTTTTGCAGTCTACCTATTTGACAAAGGGCTAATATCCAGAATCTACAAAGAACTAAAACAGATTTACAAGAAAAAAACAAACAAAGCCATTCAAAAGTGGGTGAAGGACATGAACAGACTCTTTTCAAAAGAAGACATATATGAGGCCAACAAACATGAAAAAATGCTTATCATTACTAGTCATTAGAGAAATGCAAATCAAAACCACATCAAGATAACATCTCACACCAGTTAGAATGGTGATCATTAAAAAATCTGGAGACAACAGATGCTGGAGAGGATGTGGAGAAATAGGAACACTTTTACACTGTTGGTGGGAGTGTAAATTAGTTCAACCATTGTGAAGACAGTGTGGCAATTCCTCAAGGACCTAGAAATAGAAATTCCATTTGACCCAGCAATCCTGTTACTGGGTATATATCCAAAGGATTATAAATCTTTCTGTTATAATGACACATGCACACGTATGTTCATTGTGGCACTGTTTACAATAGCAAAGACCTGGAACCAATCTGAATGCCCGTTGGTGATAGATTGGACAGGGAAAATGTGGCACATATACAGCATGGAATACTATGCAGTCATAAAAAACGATGAGTTCGTGTCCTTTGTAGGGACATGCATGAATCTGGAAACCATCATTTTCAACAAACTGACACAAGAACAGAAAATCACACACTGCATGTTCTCACTTATAGGCAGGTGTTGAACAATGAGATCACATGGACACAGGGAGGGGAGCATCACACACTGCGTTCTATTGTTGGGGGATAGGGGAAGGACAGCAGGGGGTAGGGGGGTCGGAGAGGGATAACATGGGGAGAAATGACAGATATAGGTGATGGCGGGGATGGAGGCAGCAAACCACATTGCCATGTATGTACCTATGCAACAGTCCTGCATGTTCTGTACATGTACCCCAGAGCCGAAAGTGCAATAAAATATATATTTTAAAAAAAAGAAAAAGAAAAGAAAATTGGGCATTTGAACAACTAGTTACTTTTGTAAGTCTTTGCAGGCAGTCTGGCATGGAAGAGCATGTTCTGAGTCTTTTGATCAAGGTTAAGGTCTTCTTGGTATTTTTTGGTTATGTATCACATCTGGACATTTGTGTGTGCTTTCCTTTCCCCAATTCCCTCTGTATACTCTACTGTTTTAGAATGTATACTCTTCTGTTTTAGAATGCCTTAATTTCCCAAATGAACCCCACTCAGACTCTTCTTGGACTTTAGACATCTATTATATACTTCTGCCCATAATCTCTTGACCCAAGCCTTTACAGGTGTGCAGTATCTCTGAAGCTTTCATATATCATGGTACCTACCACTGCCTTCTATGGCTTCTGTTAGCTTGAAATCTGAGCTATGTCACCATTCCCAATGTGAGCTCTGAATCAGGTGAGACAAACCTGTCACTAAGTAGCCAACAGACAGGTTAAAATGTTGTAAATAGTTTCTATTCCACTCCTTCTGACTGAGGGAGGGAACTTGGAATTGAGGTTTTGCCTGTGGATTATGGCCTGCCACTCCAGGGCAAAGGTAAATAAAATGCATTAGAAATGTATACTGTTTAAAAGTGGCTTTTTCCTGATTGGGCATTTGGTTACTTGCTGTATTTGACTGGTCTTCAAAACTCCTATGGTGTTACTTTAGTCAGTCTCCGGTTGATTTTCTAATGCTTTCCTGAAAAAACAAGGGCATGCGGCTTCTGATTCACATTATTGCTGTACTTCTTTTGATTTTATATAATGATTTTATAATTATAAGGACAACAAAGCTGTTTTCAGTTTGTTTATTAAGCTGGTAGTTTAGGCAGTGTTATGCTGGATAGAATCAAGTCATCCTACAGAATGACCCAGTAGGATGAGGGGCTCAGAACTAGAGACAATCACAAAAATGCTGAGAGAGGAAGAGTCTGAAGAAATCTTTGGAAGTAATAATTGATAAAACAGTGCTAAAACTAAGTTTTAGGGCATTACATCATAATCTTTCTTAAGAATTACCTGAGGACCAAAATAGGCTGGGGTGGCTATGCTAATATCAGACAAAATAGATTATATGTCAAAAATATTTATAAGAGATAAACAAGGGGATTACATAATAATATAAAATTTTATGTTTGCATTAACACAAATAATTATAAGTATCATTTAAAAATAATATATGAAATATCATCAATAATATATAAGCACTATAAATATATATGCACCAAATTACAGAGCACCAAACTATGTGAAGCAATGATTGATGGAATTGAGGAAGAAATAGACATTATTACAGCAATAGCTTGAGACTTTAATACCCCATATTTAGTAATGAAAAGATTATCTACACAAATGATCAATAAAGAAATAGTTATCTTGAATGCTGTCATAAACCAACTGGACCTAATAGAAATATAGAGAATACTCCACTTAATAACAGCAGACTACAACTTCTTCTCAAACAGACACAGAATATTCCTCAAGATAGTCTGTACGTTAGGCTACAATATAAATATCAATACATTTCATAGGATTGAACATATCAAAGGATTTTCTGTGATCACAATAGGGTGAGATAGACATCAATAACAGAGAAAAAAACTAAAAAAATCACAAATTTATAATTTATATGCAAAATCATGTCCTGAGGTATCAGAAAAATGATGTCTAGGTCATCTAGACACAATATGAACACAGTGCAGAGGACACTGAGCTGTGCCAGGAGCTATAATAATAGCCTCAGGACAGTGAAGACAAGACAGTGATGGGAGGACATGTTTGGTAAATAGTCTGGGTTTCATTTCATGGCCACCTAGGCTTTCCCAAACAATTTTGTCACCTCCTCTCTTTTGTCATCTCTGTCTAGGACTTGGAGAACTTCATCGCCAACTTTGGGGATGCTGGGTTTGTCCTTGTGGCCTTTGGCTCTACGTTGGACATTTATGAGTCTGAAGAAGTCCTCAAGAATATGCACAGTGCCTTTGCTCACCTCCCTCAAGGGGTGATATGGAAGTGTCGGAGTTCTCATTGGCCTAAAGATGTTCATTTGGCCACAAATGTGAAAATCATGGACTGGCTTCCCCAGAGTGACCTCCTGGGTAAGGACTGCCCAGTTCTGCTCTTTTCTTTCCATTGATCTGTCTTTGGGGCTCATCAGTGTTCTGATCTCTAGCTGGGCATTTGTACCAGCCTAGGAAGTAGCTACTTATAAGCAAAAATAAGGCTCAGAGGGCAGGAAAAGAGCAGCCAGCTCGAGATCTTTGGGAATCAGGCTAGCCTTCGAAATGGTGAAAACAGCCATTTTCTCATTTTCTTTCTGAGGCCAGGCCTGGAATCTCCAACCAGAGATGATATTTGGTCATGTTACCTTGACCCCACTACATTTGACACTGAACAGGGTCACCCCAACACAATCTAAGACAATATGTAAACTCCAAGAGCATATATCTGGGGGTATGTTGCTCCTATTCAGTGGCCTCCTGACCACCTATTTAACAGTGTGCCATTACACAAACACACATATACCTGTATAAATACATCTTCCTTATCTACTAAGGATATGAAGAACTCATACGTTCATAACATTGATGCCAGCATTGAAGGATGTGCCATAATATTTGTGTCAAGCTGTGTAATCACATAGCCAGGTATTGAGCCATTTGGTAACAGAGCTCCTTACACTTCAATAGGTTTTATTATCCTTGTGATACTTTTTGGAGACCTCTAGCTGACATCTTCAGTGACTGGATCTGAGGTTCACAACAAAGTTTATGGATCAAAGTCAACTTGGTAATTTTAGATACAGATTTCTGTATATTTAATTTTTAAGACATGGGGCAGGGAAAAATATTTTCATTTTCAAAGGGATACAAGTAGATTTTAATCCACATTTCTGTTCAGAAACACAGATTTAGCTCTTCATTACAAAAAGTCACTAGCTTGCTCTAAATAAGGGTGGTACAGGCAGATATGAACTAGAAATACGAAAGTAGAAGTGTATGGTTTATTATTTCTTTCTTTCATAACTTCTCTTCAAATGGAGAAAACTCCATATACAGTGTAGATATTACGAAAGAACAGAAAGCAGAAAGTAAAGGGAGAGACGAGGTGGGGAGAGAAGGATGGCTGCATGGATAGAGAAATATGCCTCGCTTATCATTCTTCTCTGCAGCTTTCCCTAGATTTGTAGTCTTAGATAGGTTGGGGTTGAGGTGAGGAATCTCTACAGAGAGGGAGGCTGGAATCTTGTATCCTATAATGTGTACCCTTATCTGTCTCCCACGCAAAATCAGTGAATTCATTTTCTCAACAGACGTTGATTCCATTGGTGTTTCATCTGCCCTTTCTGCTTTACCTGGTATTCCCAAACTTTTCATCCTGAAATGTTCCATTCTCTTTCTTGTTTGCCACAGCTCACCCCCGTATCCGTCTTTTTGTCACTCATGGCGGGCAGAACAGCGTAATGGAGGCCATTCGACATGGTGTGCCCATGGTGGGATTACCAGTCAATGGAGACCAGCATGGAAACATGGTCCGGGTAGTAGCCAAAAATTATGGTGTCGTTATGCAGTTGAATCAGGTCACAGCTGACACACTGGCACATAAGATGAAACAAGTCATAGAAGACAAGAGGTATGTGGCTCTCTGAGCATGTGGTCACTAAGGCTGAATGAAGATAGAAAACACAAGGGATACTCTATGTATTTTCCCAATAATAGCTGAAGCTTCTGTGACATGGAATAATATGTGTGTGATGCCAACAGCCCACCTGTTTTCTCTAGTAAGTCTCCAGGAAGACTAATTTAGATTAGATGCTGAGAATTGCTTTCCTAAGGTTGTGATGGTGACAAATTATATACACAAGATCTCTTTGACTGGTATTATATTTGGCAGTCCCTCTAGTAGAATTCCAGCTGAAACAGGGGGTTTCTTCGTGTTTCCCCAATGTGCCTGCTCTTCTCACCTCTGGCATCTTTTTTGGTGCTGCTCCCTAGAACATCCTTCCCTTCTGTTCACAGGACTGGCTCCTTCATGACATATAGGTCTCTTCTCCAATGTTTCCTCCACAGAGAAGGTGGTGTATTTGATAATCCTAACCAGCCTCCTCTTCCACTCAGCCCAATCATAATATACTATTTTCTTCCTTACACTTTTCAAGATTTGTAATGTCTCCATTTACTTATGTTTTTATTAATTGTCTGGCCCCCAACACCAGAGAGTAGAGTCAGCTTCATAAGTACAGCAATGTATTTCTCTTTCTTTCAACTATGTTCCCAGTACTTACTGTAGAGCCTGCCACAAAATAAGTTGCCATGAATTTCAGTTAAATGAGAAAATAAAAAAGACCTGGTGACCCCCTTTTTTACTGTCCATCCAGCCAATGATCTTATAATCAAGAAGGATGGAGTCATTTATTATGGTTTCAGGAACACAAACCCTGAATCAGGTACATATTCTCTCATATGTGGTTATATATATATTTTCCTTTAGTATACCACAAGCATCCTAGGGATATCGACTAGTTTTTAAAGATTTAATGACTTTCCTGCAGTTTAATACTTTTAGAATTAATCATTGATCTTTGTATGTAGGTGTTTTTATTGAACTTTTCCAGAGGATTCAGCTAGACAATGGCAAGACCATGCCAACAAATTTTCTTTGCAGCCCAGCCTTGGTGCCTGTGTTAGAAAAGTGTTTGTATGCTTGTGTGTGTGCTCACGCATTACAAAGTCTCTAAGTCTTGTGAGGCTATGTCAGTAACACACCCTCTTTGTCTCTGCCAACAGGTACAAGTCGGCAGTGGCGGCAGGCAGTGTTATTCTGCACTCTCAGCCCCTGAGCGCCAAACAGCGGCTGGTGGGCTGGATCGACCACATCCTCCAGACCGGGGGGGCGGCGCACCTCAAGCCCTATGCCTTCCAGCAGCCTTGGCATGAGCAGTACCTCATCGACGTCTTTATGTTTCTGCTTGGGCTCACTCTAGGCACTGTGTGGCTTTGTGGGAAATTGCTGGGTGTGGTAGCCAGGTGGCTGTGTGGGATCAGGAAAGTGAAGATGACATGAGGCTAGGTGCAGCCTTGAGAGAGGGGAGGGGGTCCCTGGTGCTTTGAAGGTTCTCCCCACCCTAGCACAGGCCACTCCTGTGTTCTCTCTTTAGCTCCAGCTGCCAATGGTCCTGCAACTTGCTTCTTTCTATTATCTGTCTCTGTTTAGAAATCTTCATGCACTATTCAGGCTTCTTGACTTGCCCCTTGTGACTTGGAGCCCCTAAATCAGATACAAACTTTCACCTGCCAGTCCTGCATCCTCCTTCCTCCCTTTTCTAGACAGGACTCTTGACAACTTCATACCTCTTGTTTAGATGACTTCTCAGTCTCCAGTCTCCATTTCTCCTTCTATCATTTTTCATAAAAAACACAGAAAATATTTGACATATCTTCCATTTCAAATGTTTCCATTTTATGCATATATCTTGCTCTTCCTATAAGTTCTGAAAGCTCAGGAAGCTTGGTCTGCTCTCCTGCATTTAGGCAGAGAGAGCCCCTGCTGAGACCTTTGCTCACTGCCTGAGACCCTTTCTTTGGAGAGCACCTCCTTTGCTGGTCAGACATGGAGACTGCAGTTGATCCCAGCTGATACTGCTTTATTTCAGTTTTTACAGTTTCCTTCTTAAGATTCCCATCTTATAAATGGATTTCAGGGAACCTCAAGTACCGCAGTGGAAACCCATGTGCAAGGCGTTGTGGCCTCAGGTACCAGCGGCTAAGGTAGTTTTAAAGACTTTGTCAATTTAAGAAAAATTCTATCTTTTATCCCCTACATGGCAGTTAATATCCTTATAGGTGGCAAAACCTTAGAGATTACATTAATCTGCTAGGAACAGAAGCAAGAAAAACCGTGGCATAAACACCCGCAGAATTTTTGTTTGTTTCGTCTTTCTTGATCAAGCCCAAAGGTAGCCCATTCAGGGCTGGTGTGATTGGTTGCTCCATCGTGTCATCAATAGCCCATATTTTTTCTTTTTGATCTTCCTTAGTATAATACCAAACTACCTCTCTAATAGCTGGTGCTCATGAAATATTTTACCTTCATGTGATCGTACCTTTTTATTTGCTTTAGCATTCTGAAATAAAATGAAATTCCATTGTAATGAAACTGTGAAATGCATGGTATCTGATGAGCTAGAAACATAGAGAAGAAAACAGGCATATGGGGTGGGCCTGGAAGAACCATAGTTTTAGATTGTTTAATTCTAGAATTGTGAAACAGATCTTGAAACAATTCAGATTAAAAGATGAAACTGTTACAAATACTCCTGTAGAAATGGAGAGTGCCCCCCACCAAAAACTTTGCCAATTCCACGAGACGATTTGCTTGCAAGTCTGCAGAGCTGAGTGCCGTATGTCTAACCATTTTGTGAGTTCTCATAACACAAGATCCAGAAGCATGAAGCATGCAGAAGTACATTAGAGTGTGTGTATATAACATAAGGTTTTATTGCTATAATTCTTATGAAACCACACGAATTGATCTATGGCAATACTCCCATGAAGGGCAGACATGGAGCCTTCTCTGTGTTTTGTTTTGAATCAACAACTACGATTTCACTCGCCTCATGAACAACATAAGGTTTTAGGGATAAGGCGCCCTGGCCAGTAACTCCTTCTCTCCTACCCTAGCACATAGTCTTTCCCCTGACACTTGGTCATCGAGGTCAACTTTGTGCCAGTTGTATACACTTGCATCCCTGAAATCTGATCATAAGCAGCCAGTGAGCCAGAATGATGCTTCCAGTCTTGTTCCCTCCAAGCACCCTCCACACGGTTGCAAGCATGGCCCTGACAACCTAGAAATCTGGTGTTATCCCTCACTGTTTAAAATCTTTGTTTGACTGTGTGGAATATGAGGAATCTGTGATTGGTTCCTGGCTACCTCTCTAGGCACACCTGGAGCAATTCTCCTCCCACTCTTTTCCAAGTGTTCACTACACCCCCCCAGAACACACTTTGCTGTTTTTAACCTCTGGGCTTTGTCTATGCCGTTCCCTCTCTCAGAAATATCATCCTACTCTTGCCAGAATGAGAAACTTCTGCTTATTTGTCAACATCCAGTGTTATTGTATTCACATTGGTAAGCCTGTGCCTGACCACTATACCCATAAAGGAGCTGAACGCATTCTCTTCTGAAGCATTTTTCTTACTATATTTCAATTATGCATTACAATATCTGTTTCCCTATTTAGAAACCATAGGGTCATAAAGGCAGTAACTGGTTCCTATTTATCTTGTTACTACAGAACCTGGCATAGTGTCTGGAACAAATACTGCTGGGACAACTGGATATTATTTAGAAAAAAGGCAATATTTGATCCAAGCTTACATCATATTAAAAACTGAATTCCAATACACTGGAGATCTAAGTACAAAAAATCATATTATGCTGAGTCTCAGAGAAAAAGTGAATTTTTCCATAGCCTGTGTGTAGGGAAAGACTGTCTCAATGTTTTGTCTCAATTATTGGAGGTCCAAAACTAATAAATGGACTGGAGCCTTTGATGCCTGGTAATGCCTTGTGGTGCCTTCCCCTGCCCTCCACATCAACTCCTCACTACAGTGGACGTGGCTATGTTGCAGAAATGTTTAAGGATGCAATACTTTAAATAATTCAGATTTGTAAAAATATCTATAATTTTTTTTATTATTATACTTTAAGTTCTGGAGTACATGTGCAGATCATGCAGGATTGTTCCATAGGTATACACATGCCATGGTGGTTTGTTGCATCCACCCCCCCGTCATCTACATTAGGTATTTCTCCTAATGTTATCCCTCTCCTATCCTCCCACCCCCTGCTACCTCTCACCTAGCTCTCTCACTCCCCCCACCAACAGGCCCTGGTGTGTGATATTCCCCTCCCTGTGTCCATGTGCTCTCATTGTTCAACACCCACTTATGAGTGAGAACATGCAGTGTTTAGTTTTCTGTTCTTGTGTCAGTTTGCTGAGAATGATGGTTTCCAGCTTCATCCATGTCCCTGCAAAGGACATGAACTCATCTTTTTTTGTGGCTGCATAGTATTCCGTGGTGTATATGTGCCACATTTTCTTTATCTAGTCTATCATTGATGGGCATTTGGGTTGGTTCCAAGTCTTTGCTATTGCAAATTCAGATTTTTTTTTTTAAAAGACTTATAGACAGAAGACATGTAATAGTGCAAAGCAGAATTCAAGGGCCCACTTCATCTTGTAGGCATTGAAGGGTTTCTCTGTCATTCTGTTGTTTGTTTGTTTTTTAGATACAGGATCTCAATATGTTGCCCAGGCTGACCTCAAACTCCTGGGCTGTAGCCATCCTCCTGCCTCAGCTTCCCCAGTAGCTGGGATGACAGGTGCATGCCACTGTGCCTGGCTCTGCCTGTTGGAAATTGCGCTGAAATCCTTTTTTTAAGGCAGCATTATATTGAGGATAGAGAATGTAAAGATGATATTTGGGATCAGTGTGCCCACGCCTTGCCAGGACTGATATTTCAAGGGGGCAAAATTGTAAGCTGTTTTCAAATTGTCTCTGAGAGGACTGTGGAAAGAGCCCCAATTCCATTTTATGATACTTATTCAGGATTATAATCTAAACTTTAGAGATTTATGCTTTCAATGAAGAAGTGAAGTTATAGGGGGGCTTAAACCGTTTGGACACTAGAATCATTTTATGAATATGATATCTTCTAGAGAGGCTGCCTGAATAATAATCGTAGGCCATTTCCCTTGGTAGATCAATTTCTCTTGAGGCTTGGCCTCCAGAGTTCTTGAGCTTGGGACACTAGCTAGAAATTTTAAGCACGTATCTAGAAAAATGGAGCATACGGATGTTAGTATAAGGTTGTGAAAGTGTCAAAATCAAAATGGAGTCACCTGTGTTAAAATCCTAAACAATGGAGCCAGGAAAGGCCATGAAGGGAGGTTCTCAAACAGTATGCCTGATAACAAGAACTATCACATAAGACTCCAAAAACCATAACCTTGCAGTTAGGCCACTGCACCCTTACACAAAAATATACTTCACAAATGAGGATATCTGCCCAGCAACTGCTATCTTACCTTGGACTGATGTCACCCTTGTTATTGATCCTTCTAGCCAAGGATAATTGTCTAAAAACAATGTATCTAACCCTCCTCATTTTTCATGTAAAAAGCCTTATTATCTTCCTTTATGTCCCTGAATATGACCATGTGTATTCCCATCGCAACGCCCATTTCTTTTAAAGATGGGCTCCAAAAGGTTTCTTTTAGAGAGCCTCTCTCAGTGTAAGTTATTTGAGTTTGACAAGGTCATTGGAGTAAGAAAGGAAGTGTGGCACCCTTAGTTCAGGAAAGGATCCATAAAAGGGAGATGGGTCCTCGTCACCTCAAGGTGCAGCTGTCATCCATGTGGTTTCTTAGGGTCTCTACTGTTCTTGGTTCATACTGATATTTAGGAGGGGAGAGCGGTGCTTACATGGTTAGGATAGGGTTAAGGGTTCAGTTCACCAATCCCCTTTTTCCACTGCCCCTGGTTTGGGAGGGTGAGGATAGTGTATCTCATGGATCATAAACTGAGGAAGAAGGGGCAGAGGGCGAGAGAAGACAGACAGACAGAAGAGAGACAGGATCTTCTCTCCTACCCTTCTCAAGCCGATAGCCAGTGCCTTTGGCGAACAGCGTCCCTTAGGCCTGGGCAGGGCACACAGCCCCGGGCTGGGTTCCAGGGCTTCTGTAGGAGGGCATGGGTGGGCAGCTGGGCGCTGCTTCTAGCGGGCTTCCTTCTCCCTGGGATCTTGCTCTCAGAGAGCGCCAAAATCCTGACGGCATCCACACTGGGTGAGTGCTTGGCGGGAAAATCCAGAGGCAGGCATGCTCCAGGCGCCGCGCATGGGCACTGGCAGTTCTGTCAGAGCGTCATCCCGGTAGTTTCCCATGCTGGGTCGGCGTCTCGGGTTGGAAAGGGAAGAGGCTGGCAGAGGCCATGGAGCCAAGAAGGGCCCCTAACCCGGGGTGGAAAAGACAGTTTTGGAGAAAACGGAAGTCTCTTTTCCTCTCTCCCGCAAGGCTGGAGCCCCCAGTTTAATTTCCCAGTCCAGTGCACTCGCCCCGGGCCGCCTTCGTCTCAGTGCTGGAGAGACGTTCCGTTCCTCATTCCATGCTTCTTGGTGGGTGCACAGTAGTTGCCAATAGACATTGTAGCAAGCATTTTCAGGCTCTTGTAGGCCGAGGAAAGGTGCTCCTGGGCGTGGCACAGCAAATTGGAGGAAACCCGGAGAACTGACTGGGGTGAGGGGACCCCTGGACAACAGGGTCTTAGGAAGCCCTTTTATCTTTCATCCAAGCTACTGGAAGGTTTTGAAGAAGTGGGGCAGTTAGTTTTGCATTTTGTGCCCCTATTTTTATTTCTTTTACTTTTATCCCCAAAGGAATAGAAGATAAAAGAGAAAATATATCAAAGGAAACAAAGGAGCTCCCGAAGAACCTTCTTCAGCCCACCTTGAAAGGACAGTGGGCTCTCTCTTAGATCAATTTAAGATCATTGAGAATCTGGGATTCCTGGAGCTGGACGAAAGCAAGGAGTTCATTTAATTCGGTCTTTCCCTTTCGTTTTCCTAAGGGGGGAAATACCAAGGATTAAGGAAATTGAGGCACCATTTACAACAGCACACCCAGCCTTCCTAGTGGCCCATGAGGAATTGACTCAAGATTCCTTACCCTGAGGCGGGAGCGGTGGCTCACACCTGGAATCCCGGCACTTTGGGAGGCCAGGGCGGGTGGATCACCTGAGGTTTGGAGTTTGAGACCAGCCTGACCAATATGGTGAAACCCCCTCTCTACTAAAAATACAAAAATTAGTTGGGGATGGTGGCGTGGGCTGTAGTTCCAGCTACTCGGGAGGCTGAGGCAGAATAATTGCTTGAACCTGGGAGGTGGAGGTTGCAGTGAGCCAAGATAGCCCCACTGCACTCCAGCCTGGAAGACAGAACAATACTCCATCTCAAAACAACAACAACAACAACAACAACAACAACACAGTTTTAGAAAGCTGTGACACAGTTGTAACCTTTCTTTGCTTGTTTATTTTTCCTGACCATTAGGAGAAATTAAGAGCTTGTCTCTTCAATTGTACTGTTCCCCTGCCTCAGACTTCAAGAGGGAGTTGATGTGGCTTGTGAAGTGCTAAAATCCCTGCTAATCATCAGCTGATTGCTGTATTGCTTTTATCAATAATCTAGTATAAAACAGGTTGATCCAATAAAATTCAGATTCCTTTAAAAAGATAGTTTTTAAAGACAATGTTTGAGATTTTTTTTTGGACCTAAGAAGGGCTCCTCCCAGCTGTCTCTTTTCCCAGTTTCCTCTGGCAAGTTAATCACCCTACAGTTTAACTTGTTTCTCCAATGAATCTACTCATCTCTTCGCAACTGCCTGTTACTGCTAAGTCCACTGTTCCTTTGTTTTTTCTGTTTGGGTGCTCTTGGCCTGGAGCTACTCCATAGTTTCTGTTGAAGACAGAGTCAATTCCTTTGCGAGGTCCATTAGTCAGGGTTCCTTATTCAAACAGAGCAGTAGGATATCTTTGTTTTTTTCAAGGAATTGGCATATATGATTTTGGAATTCTAGGAGTTGGCAGTCTGAAATCTGTAGAGCAGTCTGGAAAGTCTTGGGCAGGAACTGATATTGCAGTCTTGAGACAGAACTTCTTCAAATAAACTGTAGATATTGATTACAACTAAAAAATAACATTAGAGCAACACATAAATTAGGGTTTGATTTAATAACAGGTACAACAACATATGTCAAGTTGACATAAAAAACACAGTTTTATGCAACTCTTCTATAGCATACTGGGAATATACTAAGTCTTCCCTATAGTGGAAGTCATTGGGTGATGTTCGCTCTTATCCTTGGTATTCTCTAACATAAATACTGTGATGTATTAGGTTTTAAGGAAATAGGGTGAGAAGAATATGATAGTATTCCACACACACAGATTCATAACAGAATAAAAGGTAAATACTTATAACGTTTACAATCACTTTGCAACTGATCATATGGTGATAGCTAGCATTTATATTTCATATGCCTTTGCCCTCAGCAAGTACCTCAATTGATTTTTTGCCTGACTGGGAAGGGGATTCAAATATTCATTCTTGAAGAGTTGGGGTGATTAGTTTTCCTTCCTGAATTGGGTTACTGTAGATTTTTTTTGTTGACTTTAATAAAAGGACATGGGCATACTTAGTGATGTGCTAACAGAATCCCTATATTCCAGACTTACTCTTCTTTTTTATGATTTATAACAGTAAATCAAAGAAATCGCAGTTGTGGCAAGTACTACAAAGAAAATAAAAACATAGTATTTGCTTCTTTTTTTTCCAACTTTTATTTTAAGTTTTGGGGTATATGTGCAGTTTGTTACATAGGTAAATGTGTGCCATGGTGGTGTGATGCACAGATCCTCCCATCACCTAGGTAGTGAGCCCAGCACCCGTTAGCTATTCTTCCTGATCCTCTCCCTCCTCTCCCTATACCCTCTGACAGGCCCCAGTGTGTGTTGTTCCCCTCCATGTGTTCATGTGTTCTCATCATTCAGCTCCTACTTATAAGTGAGAATATGCAGTATTTGGTTTTCTGTTCCTGCATTAGTTTTCTGGGGATAACACTTCCAGCTCCATCCACGTCCCTGCAAAGGACATGATTTCATTCCTTTTCAGGCTTGTTCTTTATGCCAATGTGTAGAAGGAACCCAATTTGCCTTGTAATTAGGTCTTGCGTGATAAATCCAGTCCAACATTTTTCAACCTCCCTAAGCCTTTAGATACCTTTCTCTACAGTGACCCAAGGCAATTCTTATATTTCAGCTCATTTAGTGTAGGCCACCCTTTGTTTCATCTTTAACTAAACCAAACAAACAGAGCTTTATATAACCCATTGACCTGCACTCTATATTGAGAATTTGTACTTTGTGAGCCTGTATCAATAAATCAATCTTGAGACAACTTTATGTTCTTTCAACCATTATCTCACACTATTAACTTACATTCTCACACATATTCACCAGATTTTTTTTTTGTCTGTATAAACTGAAAAAAATATGCATTGCTTTTGGTATGTAGTATGTCTCTTATTGGTTAATAATTTTAATCTTTGTTTCAAGCCTGCTAGGACCAGAGTTTAGTTATAGTTCTACAAGCCAAGAGGTTTGGTGGAAGTAGGTTTTAAGGAGAATCAGCAGTGTTTTCCGATTAAAATACCTCAGAGGTGCTAGTATTCTTTCCTTTGAAAAATCAGGATAAACCTTCTCAGACATGAATAGCAGGGTTGCTCCTACTGGCAAAGAAGATGCAGCAGAACTTAGAGGTTATGTGTCCTTAGCTTCATCAGGATCTACCCCATATATTTCACTCCAATTGTCAGAATGTCATTCCTTCCCAATCAATCCCCTCAGTTTAGCAGAACATACTTTGCCTGACTGGGAATTCAATTTGTATCATAATTCTGCCACTCTCAGGATAACACTCTAGATTTGATTTTCTGAAACCTGAGGCTGATGACAATGGGAGATAAGTACATTCCTCAGGGAAGACACAGAAGATTTCAGATCATTTATGTGGAGTTTGAACTTGGAATTTCAAGCCCTGATCTCTTCCTTTTCTTTCCTCACTTTGTCTACCACAGTTAGGAGTAGTCATCCTCATTACACTTATTAGTTTGACTAACATATTTTAAAGTATAATGATTACCCAGAGACTTGCCTTTTATGAATATTTGATTAGGAATCCAGTAGTAATATTCTACATATCTTTTTACCACCTCACGGTATAGACTATCATTGCCTTCTTTACCAATGGAAAAAAGCCTTATGCCGTAAAATATAATGGATCTGGAAGATACTATCTCTACACATGGTAAAACCCTTGGAATTATACCGGTTGCTAGCAGCAGAAACAAGCAAAAGTGTTGCTTAAGTACTCCGGTGATTTCGTTCTTTTTACTTCCTTTGACACAGCCTGGAGGAAGACTATTGAGGGCTTGCATGGTGGTTCCATCATGCTGTCCATAGCTCCCCCTTTCCTGTTTCTTTTTTGTTAGTTTTTTATCTTTGATCTCTTTTCTTAAATTATTGTATCAAACTTGATCTCTGGTAGGTGGTTTTCAAGAAATACTTCATATTTAAATGCTTGTGCCTCATATTTGCTTTTGCATTCTCAGATGGAATTAAGTTTCTTCTTAAAAGTTTCAAATGCTTGATATCTTGTGGGTTAAACAACTGAAAAGAAAACATTAGAGAGCTGAGGTTGCCCTGGAAGAACTGTAGTTCTAATTGCTTAATTCTGGGCTTGAGACAATTCAGATAAAAGGATGAAATAGCTACTACATATACTCCCTGCAGATGTAGGAAAGGACTCAACTTCTTGCCAAATCCATGAAAGAACTTGCCTGGTAGTCTGCAGAGCTGGGTGCCTGGCATCTACTAAGTTCTGTGAGTTCTCATGCTGTAAGGATGTTGCATACAGCCAGGATCATGTTATATACAGCAATGTGTGTGCGTGTGTGTGTGTGTGTGTGTGTGAGAGAGAGAGAGAGAGAGAGAGAGAGAGACATGTAAGGTTTGAATCGCCAGTAATTATACCTGCCTGCAGGACGTGCAGGAGTGGGAATGCAAGGGTAGCGTAGATGTCACAGATACACAATGAAAGAAACCATAATGTAGATCCTTTCCTCTCAATAAGCCCCTAAATTTCTTCTTATCTGGAGAATTAACTGCCAGGGAACATGTGAAAAACAGAAGTAAAAAGAGACAAAGAAAGAAAAGAAGAGAAGAAACCGAGGATGAAAACAGCAGAAATGAGAGCCTCTGCAAATGCAAAGAAGGAGGGAGAACCTTGAATCACCTATAATTACTCCTGCCTGCTCCCAAGAGTTGTGGTTTAAAGTCTCACCTGGTAATAAGGCACCCTAGCAGCAAGCTTTCTGGGGAAAACAGAAGGACAGGAAGGTGCTTTCTGAAAGAAAGAAGACAATGCGCTGAATGCTACCTTGCAAAAAATGGGAGTCAAGTTCTGATGCTGTTCTAGAAACCAAACCATTGCAGCAAAACTTCTGGCTGGCTTCTCTCCCAAGTGCAAAAGGCTTGAGCTTTCACAGTCACTGAGATTTCCTAGGCGACAGGAGTGTAAACTTGAGAAAAGGCAGAACCAGAATAGAGATTGGCAGTGAGCCGAGCCAATCAGACTCTGAGTCTGCAGCAGTGATTCCAGGCCATCCAATTAATACTAAGAGAGTGGACCACGACCTCTGAGGAAGACAGGTAAGAGGGAGGAGGCTAAGGTGGCTTGGGAGGGACCAGTTTTCCTAGATGCAGGAGAGAGCGTCCATAGTTTCAGCTCAAAGAAACTGGTGGCAACAGATTAGCATTTAAGGTAAATTAATGCTTTTTATCTATTCTATGATTTGATTTTTTTTTCTTAGTTTGTTTTAGCCAAGAAAAGAAGACAGTAGATGTTACTCTCTAAAAAGAAAGCCTGAAACTTCTTGAGAGTTCTTGGACTTGAGAAGCCATTACTAGGCTGTCAGTGCAAAGAGGAAAGAGCTTGGTACTGGGAAAGGTTTTTGTAATCTTTGCAAAAAAATGCTTAGCTAAAAATGTACAAATATTAATTTCATTCTGTAAAGGAGAAGGAAGTAAACAGTACTGAGCAGTCACTAGGTACTACATATTTGAGTGTGAAGGGGTTGGGTGAACTGCTATATTGATCCTGATGACCACTGATAAAACTGAGCTTCAGGGAGGTTCAACATTTCCAAGTCACAAAACAATAAAACATTTGAACTTTCATGCAGACCTCGCTTTGTCTGATACTTAAACTTATGCTATTTCTGCTGTACACTGACAACTGAGAATCAGGATAAATATCAGAATGCTCATTAAAGTGTACTTACATGGCTTGTTCAAAAATTATATCAGATGGTGGATTTGATTCATCAGAGACTTGAGTGGGTCCTTTACGTTCTCAGTAAAAGACAACACCAGCAACCCAGGCATTCATCTCTATTGCCTTTGGTCTGGGGAGTATTTAAACTATATTAAATAAATGAAATTCTTTTCTGTTTTTTTTTTTTTTTTTTTTTACTTTTTTTCCCCTCAAACCCTACAACCACAAAAATTTATTTTGTTACTGAAAGTTTTAAATATTGAGATTTGAATTTCAGGCATACATTTGTATTTATATTTGGTAGCAATTACCCAATAACAATGGCAATGATAAATTACAATAGCAATCTAATAGCATCCTGCTAATCCCTGATGATGTGATGACAGAAAATGCTAAGGATACAGCCCTTGCTCATAAGGACCTTATACTCTGTCTAGCAGGACAGATAATTCTGAAAACTATGAATTACATCGTTGTGCAATGTGAATGCTATTTGGACTTCACCATGTGACTATGGAAGGATGGGTGGGACTTCTCTGGGCCAAGAGGTAAGGCAAGGTGTTTCTGAAAGTGTGACTCTGTGTACAAAGGTGCAGAGATATGAACACATGCACACGAATGTTCATTGCAGCACTGTTTACAATAGCAAAGACCTGCACCAACCCAAATGCCCATCAATGATAGACTGGACAGGGAAAATGTGGCACATATACACCATGGAATATTATGCAGCCATCAAAAACGATGAGTTCGTGTCCTTTGTAGGGACATGGATGAACCTGGAAAGCATCATTCTCAGCAAACTGACACAAGCGCAGAAAATCAAACACTGCATGCTCTCACTCATAGGCGGATGTTGAACAATGAGAACACATGGACACAGGGAGGGGAGCACTACACACTGGGGTCTGTTGGGGGGAAATAGGGGAGGGACAGCGGGGGGTGGGGAGTTGGGGAGAGATAGCATGGGGAAAAATGCCAGATATAGGTGAAGGGGAGGAAGGCAGCAAATCACACTGCCATGTGTGTACCTATGCAACAATCTTGCATGTTCTTCACATGTACCCCAAAACCTAAAATGCAATTTAAAAAAAGCATGCTATGATGTGTTTGGGGAATGTGAATGAGTAGAGAGGCAGAATAGATTTTGAATGGATGGAGAATTACTAGAAATGGCTGGAGACATAGGAAGGCCAATGCATGAATTCAATGTTAAGAATTTTCATTTTACCTATATACAATGGGGAACCATCAAAGGGTCTTAAACTAGATCGTGAAGTTCATGTTGTCATTTTCTAAAGATTACTCACACAATCTTCTGAAAGGCAAAGTAGAGAGGGCAAAGCTAGGGGCAGGGAACCAGTTAGGAGACAGTTGCAATGGTGGAAATGAGGGGTGGCCATGTCCTGGGCTGAGTCAGTATCCATGGCGATGGAGATGAGGGAATGGAAATGCAGGATGGGTTACGACAGTGAAACTCTACAGGACTTAGCTGCTACTTGGATGTAAGGGGTGAGGCAGAGTATAGGATAATGGCCAGTTAATGACCCTAGTAAATGGTATTGCTGTTTCCTGAAGCAAGGAGTAAGGAAGAAAGATAATAAATTTGGTCCTGGAACATTAAACTGGAAGTATCTGTAGGTCATCCAGGTGTACATGTTTTGTGAGAAATCTGGCTCCAGAGAGCGGCGATGTTGGAATAAAGATTTGGTAGTCATCACTGTATCAGGGGATATGGCTGACATTGCCATGGGATAGTGAAATAGTAAGAAGAGAATAGACAACTGAAGCCTGAGAAACAGCACTTAAGAAGCAGGTAAAGACAAGGAAGAAACAAATAGGACAGATCCAAGAGGGAGGAGGAGAGACAACAAATTAGATTTATAGCCATTGAGAGAAAGGGTGTTAAAGAGGAGGAACGGCCAATAGTCAACTGTTGGGAGAAATGAACTAAGGGCTAATGACTGTTGAAGTTGGCAGTCAGGTTAACAGTGACTTATTGAAGAGTATATTTTCTGGAATATACTCCAGCCTCCTGTCTCCTCCTCTCCTCTATCTTCTGGTGTTGCTGCCATGTGGTGGAATCTAGCTGGAAGCCAGCGAGCAAAGAAGTGTGGTTAATACAGTTCATGGAGGTCAACCTCTTGTAGCACTGATCTGGGTGGGGAATGGTTCAGGAGAAGCACATGGGCAAACAGTGTTCAGCTCAGAGTGATGACTGCCATTCAGAGGTCGATCAAGATGAGCAGGCTTATAACTGAATAAGGAATAGAGGAAAATCTGGGTGTCTGTGTATGGAAGTTGCGCTTGGTCCCAAGAGGGGCAACCTCTTCCCGTAACTTGTAGAGGTGGTGGTGAGGTGCTTAAGAGCAAGGAGTAGGGGTGTTTAGCTTGTGGAATAACACTTTTGGCATCAACTGTTGCTTTAATCTCGTTATGAATGAAATAAGAATTTTCCTTGTAAAATTTTGCTCTTTATGCTGATATCAGACAGCTTTGTATAAAGAAAACATATCCAGGTTCACAAGAGCAGTTTTCTATATTTCACAAGTCAACAGATCGGCATTTGGGAGAAGATGATATTACAAGACTCTGAATTGTAGAAATAGCCGTGTGTTGGCTTCTCATGGGATTCCTAATGCCCATGAAAATTTGTTCCATTCATGATATTCTATGGAGAAGATTGTCTCCCATATTGTTAGCTATAATTCCATTGCCACTCAGCATCTTGTTTTTCCCCCAATCTGAAAACAGTTTTAAAATTCTTGTATATTTTCTTGTAACCTAAAGTCAAGTAGAATTAAAATTTCCTGGATATAAAGTGTAGCTTGAGAGGGACGACAGTCTTTGGTTGAGAGGTGGATGACAGCTCTTCTTACTTTCTTTGGAAGTTCTGCTTAGTGTGTGTCCCCTCTGCAGTTCCCCCTCTAGTCTCGACAGGAGTTCTTCACACAGAGGGAGGAGCAGGCAAACGCTCTGCGGTAACAAACAGCATCAGTCCTTCTTACTTAGTATGCTTGGGACTCAGTTACTCAATTTTTATAAATGAATGTCCTGGGGTGACTGCAGGGATTTCCTGTTTAAAAAATAGGAACATTTTCTGAGATGTTGTGGATAATTTACAAAAGACAGCTGGGGAACCGGCAGATGCAAAAGACCCTGCTCAGGATCTTGGTTTTGCTACCTATGCGTGAACTGAGACAACCTTGAAATCTCTTTGTGCCTCAGTTTCCTTGTTTTGTAAAAAGTGATATAGCTATGTCTGTAACCTATAATAATTGTTACCAAGACTGACTTTATGCTGGACAAATTTCTGCTCTAAACAAATGGACTGTGAAAAACTTGCAACACACAGGCAATCTGTTTAGCAGAGAACGTGAGACAGAGTGAGTGTGGGGTAAATGTTTCCTATTGCTGTTGTTCTTATCTTTTGCATAGTTCCAGAGGTCAGCAAACTGTTTCTATGCAGGGCCAGAGAGTAAGAAATTTAGGCTTCATGGTCCAGAAGGTCTACGATGCAACTATTCAACTTTTGAGTTGTAATGTGAAAGCAGCCACAGACAATATATAAACACACATATGTGGTGTTTTCCAATAAAATGTTATCTACAAAACCAGGAGGAGGGCCAAATTTGGCCCAAGGGGTGTGGTCTGATGTCCCGGGCCTAGATTATCTTAGCTTATGTTTGCCTGCACTGAGGGCATCCTTCATAACTGCCCATGGAAAAGTGAGCCTTATTTGTTTTGGATGAACACAGGTGAAAAAGGAGGAACCATCAAAGTGTTGACAACTGGCCTTAGGGCTTTCCTTAGTCTTCTGCATCAGAGTGATCTGGTTGCTCCCTATGTTTACAAAGCTTCAGGCTCCTCCTGGTTTTGTGAAATAAGCTGAGTTAGACATGCTCACACTCTTATTTTTTTGCATAGCAATATTCCTTCTGCCAATGGAGGCAGAAACTGTAAGTTGCCTCCTCACTAACCAATGACTTATTATTTTATAAACAGAACCTTGGGGGTGACAAAATATCCAGCCAAAAATCAGATTTCCCAGACTCCTTTGAAGTGGCGGATGAGCTTTAAATAGAAGGAATTGGGGGAATCTTCTGGGAACCTCTTCAGAAAGGGCTCATTTAGTTGGGAAGAACGTCCTTCTTGCCTTTGCCCTTTTTCTTTTCTTTTGCTTGGAGTGTGGATGTAATAGCTGGAGCTGGTATGGCTATTATGTACCTTTAGACAACTTTGAGGATAAAAACTGTGCTAGGGTAGAAAGATAGTAGTGTTTGGAAACACTGATGACTACTTGAAGCACTTCCAGAATTCTTTCACATGAGAGCAAAGTAAATCTCTATCATTTTCAGAGACATGACCTGTTTCT